GAGAAAATATAGTTATGATTTTATAAGGACTGAGTACCAAAATACTCATGAGAAACTTTTTTCCTCTCAATATGCGCCTAAGAAACTTGTCACTCTGCCATTTTTCATCTTGTTACCATCCTTTTTATATGTATATAAAATATATATATTCCAACATATATACTTTAACTTACTGGGGTTAACTGTATACATACAAGTTACAATGTACTTATTGGATACATTAACAAAGACAAGTTGAAGATCAAAAAAAGTGAACTTAATTTCAGCAGTTTTCCTAAGGGTGCTTGTTATTTAAGTAGTTCTCACCAGAATAGCACAAGAAAGAAATAACTACTTATTTATACTCTTTGACAAAAACTTCTATTTAAAGAAAATTAATTTTATATTAAACTTTCTCTCTTAGGCCAGTAAAAATCTGAAACTCTCAGAACACATGAATATGTCAGTAAGAAAAGAACCAATGAAATGTTGACAAAAATAGAAAAGTTATTAACTTAAAAAAATCTTAAAATTATGAAAAAAGAAATCAAGGCCTTTGCCCAAAATAAATTTGCACTGAGTATCTGAAATAATTTCCCACTATCCTTACCACTACCTACACCAAGGAAAAAACTAATTATAATTGAGATAAACTGAAGACAAGGTCTATGAAGAGAGAATTTTTAAATTACTAGTCAAAAATGAGGTATAATCATAATTCTCTAATAGAAGTACCCTTTTAGTTTGCTACTACTAAATAAAAATATATAAAGGGATACTCTTGATGAGGAAAAAAATGCATGATTGTTTGAAATGGGATTGTAAATATTTTTCAAATAATTTTTATTAGTTATATCAGAAAATTAAAGGACTATATAATTATCTTATTTAACAAAATACACTAAAGCAGGTACTTGTAAAGTCAGTGAGAGGTTACTCATTTTCAATTCAACAGGATAATCATATATATTTGGGAAATAGCAGGAAGAAAGCAATTATCACTAAAACAAACAATCAGTTTTAGTCTCAACTAAAAAGATATTTATGTGTTCTGGATATTTTTCTTTAACAAGTAACATACTTTTAGAAATAAAACATACTTTTAAATTCCTACTTAAAATTACTTTAACTGGTCAACATGAGAAACTTAAATATCAGGTTATGCTGCTAATAAGGTTTTAATCTTCTCCTTCTGATTTTTGCAATGTCTCTGCTTTTTTAGTTCCCATACAATTTCTCAATATAGAAGTATTTAGACCAAAGAAAAAAAACATCCTTCCTAACCTATATAAACCACTATTACTAAATATTAATCCCAATTATTTATAAAGTATTTAAGCATCTTTCAACAGTACAGTTTTGTGCTTCTTTAATCAAAGTAGTAAACACATTTCCTTCTCCTAGAAGTATTATAGCTTCTGAAAACCTGATTGCTAGAACCTCAACTCAAATGACTGCTGATGATTCATGTTTAATGTAGACATAGTTCCTTTCCTAGAATCTCTGGAAGAGATTAATACAAGAAAGCCTATGAATACCATAAAACATGGGACCAGTAAGATAGTCAATTGGCCTGTGATCTTATATTACCATACTAACTGGGGAAACTACAGATGAACAAACTGCAGAATTAATTGCAGATTGAATAAAATGGTATAAATTATCTCAGTCATAGGCAAGGTTGACTATGGTTGTTTGAGGTAAACAAACAAAAGGGCTGGCCAAACCTATAAGCCATATTTGTCCTTAAGGTCCCACGATTCTTCTTGGGACCACACTTAGTCTCGCCCATCATTACTGTCCGATTTACAAGATTCCCAAAGGACCCCAAGAGGCCGAAGCTTCAAACTATCATTCTACCCCAACCATGCCTTTATCTCCTAGACAATCTTCCTATATGCTACACCTCTCCTAATCACAGACATTGCATGAAAGTTTACTTCAAGGCCTGGCCAGTGTTGTTCAGTTGGTTGGAGCATTGTCCAGTACACCAAAAGGTGGCGGGTTCAATTCCTGGTCAGAACACATACCCAGGTTTCGGGTTCAATGCCCATTTGAGGAGCATGCAGGAGGCAACCAATTGATATTTTTCTCTCTCCATTCTTCTCTCTCTAAACACACACACACACACACACACACACACACACACACACACACAAACATACAACAAATAAAATAATTTAAGTTTTACTTTTCTATATTCCACTGACTCTGAAACCTCACTGGTTTGTAAACTACAGCAAGTTTGCTTGATAAACTAATCTGTGCCAATATTGTTGATAAAAGACAGTATTTTAAAGTTTCTTTTTCCAGAAATTTGTGATTTTTAAACAGAATTATTTTAGAAAAAAAGTTTGTAACACACAGGAGAGACACAAATAAAGTTTGCTATTGGCAATTCTCAAATTATACTTCACAGTCAACCACCTACTCTACTTATTAATGTACATCCAATTACAACATAATCTAGTTTAAATTAAAAACTAATGTAGTCATATAATTAGTAATGAACATATGCCTGGCTAGATATATGTCTCATGCAAATGTCAAGTAAATGGAGACTAAAACTACAATAGCATGGTTTTATAATAAATCCCCTATATGTTGAATCTTCTCATCCTCAAAGTAGAGCAAATGATCCCTTCTAGCCAATCCAGTGAAAATGGTCAGGTAACCTTTTAACCTACTCTAAATTACTTAGAGCACACCATATATGAGATCCTCTCTGCACATTTGCTATTTAGTTTTTAAAGTGTCTTTTCTACTTTATGCTTTCATAACAATTTGGTAAATTACAAATATAATTAGATAGCAGTATTTATTTTGAATTCTGACAGACCACTTTATTCTTTATCACATTAATCCAAAGCACTACCTATAACTGAGATAATTTATATTATTTTATTCAATCTGCAATTAATTCTACAGTTACAAGTCTAGAATCTTTCTTAACAACAGGTCCAAGTTTTTTAAAACTACAATTGAAAGGATTCTGCTATATAATAATCTTGTGAAGAAACCTATTGACCAGAAATTTTAAATATGGAATACAATTTCCCCAATTCTTAATTTCTGGACAGTGGAAAAAGAATAACATTACTAGCTCTATGTAGACTGAAATATTGTAAAGCCATACCAATCCCATTTGGTTTTTTCCTGCAATCTTATTTAGAACTTTTAAATAGCTACAAGTCCACAAAGTTAAGGACTATACAATTTAGAGCTTTTACATCCTTTCAGAGTATTAGAAGAGTGCATGTACTAAATGAATGTAGAATTAAAACAATTTTGGAGAATTCTTGAAGACAAAATCTACATACAATGTTCACTCAGCTACCTGTAAACCAAATCTTATTAAAAACATTAATGCTTTATAAACTACCCAAAAAAGTCATTAAAGTACAGGTAAAGCCTACACTAGACCAATAATTTATTTTACATACACATTTGGCCCTATTTTTTTTTTTTAAACAATTGGCTCAGCAAGTAAGTATCCAACATGCCTTCACCTCCACTTCTCACTTCCCATTCTTTTGGTCCTAGAAGGTAAGTATGAAGTGCAACTCAATCCTAAAAGGATGCTTCAAGTAAGAGCTACATTTTGCCTTGACTTTCTTTATGACCTTGGATGAGGAATCTACCAAATGAGGAATTTAATGATGTTTGTGCGTTCCCGTTTATTATTGAAATTTAGTTCTAATATATTAACAATAGTGAAATCTAAACTGGACCTAGGGAGCTGAAAGCCTCTGAGTTATAAACATCAAATGATAAGAACCACATTTTAAAACTTAATTTGACTAGTTCAAAAAAAAATTAACTAGAAAGGTCCCAAATTTAACAAGACAGAAAAACAAATTCTGAAAAATACCAACAGCCTCTTTATAAAGAACTAGCCTTCAATGTGAAAAATAAAGGAGGAATTAAACGTGCTTGAACTAGCCATTTCCTTGCTTTAATAGCTGGACAACAAACGAACATTTGCGTTGCAAAAGAATGGAAAGACAGTAAGTATAGAAAGATTATCTACGATCTGAAAATTACGAAGATACATCTATCATTTAAGTCATTAATCTGCATACCCAGATTGGGCAGTCATCTTGGTACCGTTTTATGAGCATTAGGAAGATAAATCCCTGCCTTGGAGGAACATCTACTCTCAGTACATTTCCTTTCGGGATCTTGGAGCAATCTGCAAGCGGGATCTCTTTAGATTTCCCTAAGGTATTCTAATTCCAAGTGTTTAACCTCATCCACACATCCAGCCGCCACCAGGGTAAGAAGTAAATGTGACCGACTCGCACGATGATTTACACACGGAACTCCAGTCGTGAATGCAGAAGTAAACATCCACAGTGGCATTTAACGCCCAAAGAAACGCGCAGATACTACGGACGCGAGGATTCACCCCTCGCTGACCACTGAGGACGCCAGGGGCCTTCCACACGGGCTGCTCTTCACCAGCACTCTTGATGTGGAAAAAGTAACCGTGTCAACTCAACATTTTAGCAGCACAGAGGATAAACAGAACTTAGCGAGCGCTCTTCTTCCAGATCCTCCCAAGGTGTTGATAAAAACCGAGCTAGAGCAACGCCCCCCTAAAAGCACCCTCCTAGAAAGAATGAAATCTCGAAAACATCAGGCGGGCCGAGGCTGAGAAAAGCTGATGGAGCCCAATTATCCGGAGGGGCCACAGGACTGGGAACCAGGAACGTGAGGTCGGGGTGGGGGTGGGGGTAGCCAAGTGAAATCTAACCCCAGAAATCACAACACAGGCCGCGCAGCCCGGGAGCCGCAGCTGGCGGGAAGCGAGCTCCCTCTCGGTTCCCAGGGCAAAGTCCAGAGGAGAGCGGCTCCGCACCGCGGCCGCGAGAGGCGCCCCGAGTGCGTGCCTACCGAGGCGCGGGAGCCGCGGGAGAAGCCGCTGGAGAAGGAAGGGGAGGAGATCCCGGCAGACGGCCCTGGAAGAGGAGGGGGACTCAGGTTGGAAGCAGCGGCACTGTCTGAACGAGGGGGATTACCTAACTGTGACGACAGAGAAGTGTCTTCAGGCTCCAGCGATGGTCCCGACTGCGCAACGTGTGGTGTCTTCCCCGCTTAGCCCGCAGCAGCAACAGAACCAGCTCCTTCAGCCAGTCGCCATTTCCCGCCTACCGACCTGCTGCACCGCACGGACAGGGACCCGGATGGAAAGCGGCCTCTCCGCGCAGGCGCTCTGACTTCCTCCTCCCCCTCCCGCCACAATTCCGCGAGGTGGGAGGGCAGGAATGCGGGCGGCCACAGCGGCAAAAAAAAAAAAAAAAAAAAGAGAGAGAAAAACAACTTTTATTTCCGTGAAGAGCGCCGGAGTTCCTGCCGCCGGGAGAAACTCGCGGGCTGGAATTCCTGACAAAAATTGAACGCAGGGCCTTAGGACCGGATGAAATAAGAAGACCAAAGCCTATCAGGATACGCCGAGGGCCTGCGGGATATTTGTACTTCAGGGGCCGCCGTAGCTGGCTGTGTAGTGGTCGCAGGGGGAGTCGAGAGTAAAGCGTTGGGAGTGGAGAGGCGGGGAGCGAAGGACGGTTTTTCCTCCCGCTACTAACGGAACTGCTGGGGCAGAGCTGGGAGGGGGAGCGCGCCCTCGCCCGGGGGCGGGGCTTAGGGCGCGGCGCGCGCTCCGGCGGCTCGGGCTGGGGAAGCCGGCGCGCCAGGTGGGTGGAGCCAAGGGGCTGGCGGGACTAACGGCTTGGCGCGCTGGCGGAGGCAGTGCGTGGAGAGCGCGGCACGAGGTCGGGAGGAGAGGACTCTTCTTTTCTGGAGTCCCGGTGACCCCCAGAGATCTTCTGTAAGCAATTGCTCATAGATCTGTAATTACAAACCCACGCCCTTCGACAGCACGCGATGCCGGCGGTGGTTCTGCGATTATTCAGACCATTGGGTTTCTACCTGCCGGCCTGGGTCAAGGGACCGGCAGCGTCACAGGTCAAAAAATGCATCCCCAGTGTCTAGTCCAAGTGGAAGATTATATATATATATATATATGAAGTGTACTGTTTACTAAAACTCCAGCCACTTATAATTCAATCAGGAAATATTTATTGAGAAAGCGCAATGCTAGGACCATACTAGGTGCGGGGATGTAACAGTGAATGGACATTGACTTCCCAGAATTCAGACTATCGAAGAAGACAAACAATCTAAATACAGTGTGATAGAATGACAGGCGTTGTACGAGGGGTGCTGGTGAGGGGGTTGGGAAGGCTTTCTTGAGATGACATCTAAGTGTGACATGAAGAATTGATGCTACAGGGGAAGTGTGTCTAGGACCTCCTAGACTCTAGGGTAAAGCAAACAGATGGGATGGGCCACATACGAGATTGCTTTGAGCAGGTGGGGAAGCAGTTCTGTGCACCGGGAATAGATGAGGCTGAGAGGTAAACAGAGCACCCTCGTGAATCTGGTTGTTTCTCAGAGAGTGAGGAAGGTGGGCTGTCTTCTGAAAGCCTTCCACAGTACAGATCCTGTCAGAGCTCTGAGTTATTTACACCCTAAATCTTTCTAGTACAAGAATGCTCTGAATGCACATTTATTGAGAGCCTGTGGTATACAGAGTACAGAACTGGTAGTAGTCCACAAAATAATAAGATTTCTGAAAAACTAATTGGAAAGCAACAATTACTTATTACTATACCGTCTAGGCAGTGTGTATCATCAAAAGGAATATAATATAAACTAAAGAACTGCCCTAATTGATGACTAAAATAAATTTTAAATCGGGTAAAAATATATTTCTGCATTCCAAGTAGTAGTTATTTCAAGCTTTCAATCTCTTAAGACTTAAGTAAAATACGCCACTTACAAAGCACTTTTGTATGCATTTATATGCACTTTGATTCTCCCAACAAGCCTGTATTAGGTATAATTGGTCTCCCACTCTTGAGTTAGACACTGAGGGGTGTTTTTTGTTTGTTTGTTTTAAGGAGAGGGGAGACCATGGCTGGGTAGCTCAGGTTAGCGCATCCTCCAGATACACCAAAGTTGGGAGTTGAGTCCTGGTCAGGCACATACAAGAATCAACCAATGAATGCATAAGTAAGGGGAACAATAAAAATTGATGTTTCTCTCTCTTTAAAATAAAATAAAATAAATTGTTAAAGGAGGGCAGAGAAAAAATATGCTTATCCAAAGATTATTTGTGGAAAATACTTAGCAAGGTGGTTTTTCTGGTGCCTTAAATGGTAGTTCATGTCATTAAGCTTCAGTAACAACTCTGTCCAAGATTTTAGAATAAGGTAAAGTTTCAAAAATATGAACTTAAAAATGAAGTCTTAAGTATATTTAGATGCAAAGCAGTAGCCACAAGGGAGAAAAACATAATGCAGAACAGTGGCATGCATGCTTTTTAAGCTATTCAAAACTATTGTGTTTTTTTTTTTAATTAAATCTTTATTGTTCAGATTATTACATTTGTTCCTCTTTTTTTTCCCCCCATAACTCCCCTCCTCCCAGTTCCCGCCCCACCCTCCGCCCTCACTCCCCACCCACTGTCCTCATCCATAGGTGCACGATTTTTGTCCAGTCTCTTCCCGAATCTCCCACACCCCTTTCCCCCCCAGGAATAGTCAGTCCATTCCCTTTCTATGTCCCTGATTCTATTATAATCACCAGTTCATTCTGTTCATAAGATTATTTATTCACTTGATTCTTAGATTCACTTGTTGATAGATGCATGTTTGTTGTTCATAATTTGTATCTTTACCTTTTTCTTCCTCTTCCTCTTCTTAAAGGATACCTTTCAGCATTTCATATAATCCTGGTTTGGTGGCGATGAACTCCTTTAGCTTTTCCTTATCTGTGAAGCTCTTTATCTGACCTTCAATTCTGAATGATAGCTTTGCTGGATAAAGTAATCTTGGTTGTAGGTTCTTGGTATTCATCACTTTGAATATTTCTTGCCACTCCCTTCTGGCCTGCAAAGTTTCTGTTGAGAAATCAGCTGACAGTCGTATGGGTATTCCCTTGTAGGTAACTGAGTTTCTTTCTCTTGCTGTTTTTAAGATTCTCTCTTTATCTTTTGCTCTTGGCATTTTAATTATGATGTGTCTTGGTGTGGTCCTCTTTGGATTCCTTTTGTTTGGGGTTCTCCGCGCTTCTTGGACCTGTAAGTCCATTTCTTTCACCAGGTGGGGGAAGTTTTCTGTCATTATTTCTTCAAATAGGTTTTCAATATCTTGCTCTCTCTCATCTTCTGGCACCCCTATAATTCTGATGTTGGTACGCTTGAAGCTGTCCCAGAGGCTCCTTACACTATCCTCGCATTTTTGGATTCTTTTTTCATTTTGCTTTTCCAGTTGGGTGTTTTTTGCTTCCTCGCATTTCAAATCATTGACTTGATTCTTGCGCTCCTCTGGTCTGCTGTCGGGAGTCTGTATAATATTCGTTATTTCATTCCGTGTATGCTTAATTTCTAGTTGGTTCCCCAATATAACATCGAGGGTCTTATTAGTTTTCTTGTAGATCTCATTAAGTTTATCGGCGGCTTCTAAACAGTTCTTGAGAGACCTTAAAAGTGTGGTTCTGAACTCTATATCTTCCATTGACAATTTTGTCCTGTTTCTTTGTCTCCGCATTTTGTTATGCTTCCTTGGTGCACCCCCTAGTGGTCTTTGTTCGAAGTCTTATAGTTAAATCTTGATTGTTGTAGCTAATTCCAGGGAGGGTTTGACCTCCAGGCCAAGTGGCTATGAGAATCAGCTGTGTCAGCAGTGAGAGAACTTCTGTCCTCTAGGGAGGTGCTAATCTGGCGTTTGCCTGAGGCTATCCGGCAAATGCCTGTGTGCAGGGCTTGGGCGAGGCGGGTCGCACAGGATCAACAGGGTGGGCCGGAGAGAGCAGTTATGGCGGCTCTCAGTCCTGTCCCCAGGGGCTCTGCCTCTCTGAGTCCCAGCACTCGCTGCAAAGCTCAGAGAGAAAGCTGCACTCGCTCTGACCGAAGCCAGACAGTCCCGCTTCTCCCGTTTGAGTCTGGGTCCCTAAAGACTCGCCTGTAACTGGAGCTCAGAGTCTGCGACTCCCTCCCGATTGAAAACGCCAACCGCGCCCTCCGCCGCCAGCCCGCTCCGCGCAGTCCGCACCTCAGAATTTGACTTCAGCACTGCGCCTCCTCTGAGTGTCCGTATGCGTTTCTCTTTCCTCCTAGTTGTAGGACTTCCACTCAGCCAGCGTTCCTGTGGTTCTGGGTGATGTCCCTTCCGTTTTTTGGTTTCACTTTTGAAGTAGTTTGCCGGGAGCCGGTCCATCCTTGCTGTTTCAAAGGACCTGGCATATATGGCATACTGTTCTTAATATGTTTGCTCACCTTCTTGGCACTATGTGTTTTAACCTTCTTGTCTCTGAGAAAGGTTGTTTCCCCAGGTAGGGATTTTCCCCTGAAGTTAGGGAGGGAATAAAACCTCTTAACTAAGTGCCAGGCGGGTAATTAATCACTTTAACTATGAACAATCATGGTTAAGCTACATAATCTTTACTCCCTGGAATGGAGATAAGAAACGCCCTAACCTTTGTAATAGAGATTGATAGGATTGAATCAATTGGTATAAATACAGTTGTAACAAGACAGCAAGAGACAGAACTTAGAACACAGAACTTAGAACACAGAACTTAGAACACAGAACTTAGAATACGGAACCGAGAGAGACAGAACTTAGAATACAGAACCTACACAGAACGTTCTCTAGAGACAGAAGAACTTCGCTGGAGAGAACATGGCAAAAGATCCTGGACAGAAACTGGCCTCAGAACCTAGAGACAGAACCTAGCGAGAGAACATGGCAAAAGATCCTGGACTGAACCTGACTACAGAAATTGGCAAGAGAACCTGACTAGCACCTGGTAACTGAACCTGGCTGGAGAACCTGGACAGAACCTGGCTGGAGAACCTAGCGAGGGAACTTGGCTACAGAACCTGGCTGGAGAGTCTGGAGAACCTAGCAAGACAACATGGATACAGAACCTAGCTGGAGATCCTGAGCAGAACCCTTCTGGAGATCCAGACCAGAACTTGGCTGGAGATCCTGGCTAGAGATCCTGGCTAGGCTGCTGATCAACTGAACTCCGTCTCCGTGTCATCCCTTCTTCGCCGACTCCATCCACACCTTTGGGGACCCCTGGACCTGCTGGGGTTGGACCCCGGCAGTAGTTGTTCAAAGCAGCAAAC